GAGAGGGAAACATCGATAAGCTGCCTCCTGCAAACTCCCCGCTGGGGATGTGCCCACAACCAAGGTACATGCCCTTTTCCGGAATCGAACTTGGGACCCTTGAGTCCATAGGCTGACACTCTATCCACTGAGCCAAACTGGTTAAGGCTGGAGATTGGCTTTAAGAGCTCTGCAAGCCACTTGTGAACCAGAACCATGAAATGGGCTACCTTTGCCCAGGGCTGTCCCCAAACTCTGAGCCAAAGTCTGTGGCCCTGGGGGCTGGCCAGCTGCTGACTGAGGCTGTGATGGCCACTCCTGCTTCGCCCCAGGACCGTCAGAGGTGCAGGCCTCAGGCACTGGCACCCGGCGTGCTTCTCAATGATGGGAGCTAGAGTACAGGGTGGAAATATTATTAAAATAGCTTTATAACTGTGATTTCCATTGTACTTTATAGATTCCAAATGTGTTTTGTATTTTTTTCATTTTATCTGAGTTACCTCCTTTTGAGTTTCATGGATGTGGAGGACTTGCCCAAAGTCACAGAGTAAGCAGCAGAGATGGGGTTTGATTTGGTCCTTTGGCTCCAAACCTCATGTCATGAGTTGTCCAGTGACTGTCACTTGCCTTCTGAGGTAGGGACAACAAGGGGCTGGGTCTAATGAGCCAGTGTCCTGGGTGTTTTCTCTGCCCAGTTTGCTATGGCTGCCCTTGGGACTGAGGTGTTAGCTACAACCTAGTGGTTGAAAAAAGCACTTTTCACTTCTGCTGTGAGAAATGACCAGGATAAAAAGGGGTCTCAGACCTCCTTTGAAAATGGTCAGCTTGGCCCTCCTGTGGAATTTGTAGACAGTGGGCTTCTTTTTCGTAGGTTTAATGACTGAGAGATGCCAAAGAAGCTGCACATCTCACCTCCAACCCTGACACAGCTTATGTCGCTGAGCTGGGCTAAGAAGATGGATGGCTCACTGGGTGGGACAGGTAGAGTGGGGTTGGCTAGGGATGATGGCTGAGGGTCCGAACTTCTCAGTATTTAAGCAAGAGCAGGCCAGGCCTGCCCAGAAACTGACACCCAGGCAGTGTGTGCTGTGAGGGCAGGGACGGTGCTTGCTGATGCTGCTGTATTGCTATGTCCTGCGCAGGACCTGCAGCCCATTACGTATCCAATCAATGCATGTTGGCTGAACTTCTGATCACTGAGCATGTTGTGTCTGAGCCTTGGCTAAATGTGGACCAGTTGCTTCCAATGGACCAAGACAGGCAGCCTGGGAGTCTCCAGACGTGTGGCCGAGCGCATCAACAGTGGTCAGACAGGCGTGAGGAGATGACCCATCCTCAGGAAATCAGGCCTTTCCTGGCAGTCACAAGACCACAAGCCCAGGGCTCAGAGACAACATGGGACAGCCTGGGGGTCTAAGGCAAGTTAGGGTGCATCACAGGTGGGTGGCGCTCAGAAACCAGGTATGCAGGGAGGTGCCATTCAAGACTCCAGGCAGGTAGCAGGGATCCAGAAAAATCTGTTATTAGGAAGAGGGCTCCAGAAACCAGGCTGAGGGTCTTTTCTGTAAGGGAGTTGGCCGGGGGGGGGGGGGGGGGGGGGGGCCTGGGACTTAAAGATCGGAGATCAAGGTAGGGCAGGTACCCAATAATCAGAACTGGCCAGACACCTGGCCAGGTGACCACCCCCAGGCACCAGGATGGGCTGAGGCATTTGCTTGACTTTATCCTGTTACTGAGGTCTGGAGCCAAGTTGGGCCTGGAGATGGTGTGTCAGGTGCGGTGCCAAGAGAGAAGGTTTCAGAGACGGGAAACTAGGCAGCACCTGGCAAAGGAGTGGCTTTTATGAGAAAAGAAAATATTGGCATGTCCCCAGGGCATAGAAAGGAAGGACAGGAGCCGGGTGGTCTGGGACATGTTCCCCAGGAATCAAGCTGGTCAGCTCTCACCTATGATCTTCCTCCTGCACCCCCAACTCTGTTCAGGGAAAAACACAGGCAGAAGGAGGCAGGTTCCTGCCCTGGGAACCTATGGTCTAGTGGGGAAGAGACCATGCATGCAATGAAGCTCTGAGCAAGCACAGGTACCAACAAGCCCAATTAAGACCACCACAGAGACATCACCACTGCAGGTCTGGGGGAAGTAGGGAACTAAAGGGAGAGGTTCCCCAGGAAGGGAGAAGAGTGACAGGGTCTAGCATAGTCTAAAAAAAAAAGTCAGATTGGGGCAACAAACAGGTTCCCTAAGTGAAGTCATTTTTATAGCATCTCTATCATCATGCTGAAACCTCATCTGACACACTGACTTCTCTTTAGAACATGCTGCAGCAGATATTGCTTATTTCCCACCGAATCAGAGAGAAATGACAATTCCCACTGGAGCTTTCTTTCCCAGGGGCAGGACAAGGTGGAAGGTGTGTGTGTGGTGGTGGGGGGGGGGGGTGGATGCTTCTTCATGCCTCCCAGGCTTCACTCTGCACCCCAGGAGCAGAGAGAGGGGGTGGTGAGGTGGGGGCCACAGACCCAGGGCCAGGGCAGGCCGCAGGGTGACCCTCTTCTCCTCTGAAGGCAGAAGATGCCCTAAAGACTGCCAGGCCTTGCCTTCACCGACCTCCTGTCCCCCAGGAATGTCAGGGATGCCTACAGGTCCCAACACCTGAGCTCCTGGGAGATCGTCATCGTGGTTGCTCTTGGCATAGTAGGATTTTGCCCACTGGCTATGGGTGGAATTCTCCACAAAGTAGGAGAGTCTTGCTGTTTGAGGCTAGGCAGCATCCAGGGCTCCTGACTCCCACCACAGTGAAAATTCCCCGATGAGTTCCCCTCGGGGGCCCCAGCCCATGTCCTTCCTCAACCCCTCCTTCTTCTAACACTGTTGTCTCCTTGAAGTTTCTAGACTTTTCTTGTTTAATATGTGTGGAAAAAAAGCATTTCGCGGTTTTCACCGTATGTGTCTCTAGGCCTCGCTGGCCGAGGTTCAGAGGACGAGCACTGTCAGCAGAGGCACTAGGAGCAGGATCGGGCCCACTGCCCAGCTCCGCTCCTCCTCCCCAGTCTCAGTGCCTCTGCTGCAGCACAGGTAGGGAGCACTCATGCCTAAGTCCCATGGCTTTGGGGAAGCCAACAAGCGAGCAGATGCCTGAGAGCCATTGTCTATGAAGTTCGTTATCATGTTTAAGGCCACTAGGAACCCCAGGACACCCACCCCCAGGCAAGCCGAGGCCTCCTCCACACCCTCCCATCCTGGGCCCTGTCAGCTGGACCACTTCCTCTAAATGGCCCCTCTGCCTTCCCAGACCTGGAATGTCTCCCCAAGGAGAACTGCTGACACAGATGAGACTGCCCTGCCCCAAAGCTAGAGAATAACCCCAGACAAACCAAATGAAAACACTTCACCAGTTCTGGCAAAGGACATGGTACTTCATCCCCACGAGGTGTCTGATGGAAAACACAGGTTCCAAGGGGCCTGGCCTGCTGGGACCCTGCACAGAAGCCGGGCCAAGGGGCAAGTGAAACCCACCAGCCTGCCAAGCAGAGCAGCCTCAGAGCTACGTGCTCCTCAAGAGCTCTCTCCCCTGCCCCACTCTGCCGACAGAGCCTGTCCCTCTTCTGAGTAAGGATGGAGAAGATATTGTGGAGCGGATGGGGCAGGAGATAACAAAGGTGCAGGTGAGGGAAAATGTGGTTCTAGGCCAGGTAGTAGGTGCCAGCTAAGACCCAAAGGCTCTTTGGGGCTGTAGGAAGTGCTTTAGTGAGGCTTCCCAGGTCTGCTGGGCGGGAGGGAAGGGAAGAGAGAGTCCCAGATAGCCCTGACTTTGGAGTATTAGGACTGTGAGTCACCTACATAAGTTATTTTCAAAGGGGTTTGGTTTTGGTCTTGGTTTCTTTAAATTTTTTTGTTTTATTTTTATTTTTAGTAGAAT